TTTCTACATGGCCAACAGTGAACTATAGACTATATTCCTGGAGGGATATATAGAGACATTTCTACATGGCCAACCGTGAACTATAGACTATATTCCTGGAGGGATATGTAGAGACATTTCTACATGGCCAACAGTGAACTATAGACTATATTCCTGGAGGGATATGTAGAGACATTTCTACATGGCCAACAGTGAACTATAGACTATATTCCTGGAGGGATATATAGAGACATTACTACATGGCCAACAGTGAACTATAGACTATATTCCTGGAGGGATATGTAGAGACATTTCTACATGGCCAACAGTGAACTATAGACTATATTCCTGGAGGGATATGTAGAGACATTACTACATGGCCAACAGTGAACTATAGACTATATTCCTGGAGGGATATGTAGAGACATTTCTACATGGCCAACAGTGAACTATAGACTATATTCCTGCAGGGACATATGGAGATAATAATACAGAGCAAAATGCATTTTGTGATTCCGTCGTAACGCCACACACCTGCTGATTCTACCTTACATTAATGCTTTGTGTGATTCCGTCGTAACGCCACACACCTGCTGATTCTACCTTACATCAATGCGTTGTGTGACTCCGTTGTAACGCCACACACCTGCTGATTCTACCTTACATTAATGCGTTTTGTGATTCTGTTGTAACGCCACACACCTACTGATTCTACCTTATATCAATGGTTGTGTGATTCCGTTGTAACGCCACACATCTACTGATTCTACCTAACATCAATGCGTTGTGTGATTCCGTTGTAACGCCACATGTCTACTGATTCTACCTTATATCAATGCTTTGTGTGATTCCGTCGTAACGCCACACACCTACTGATTCTACCTTACATCAATGCTTTGTGTGATTCCGTCGTAACGCCACACACCTACCGATTCTACCTTACATCAATGTTTTGTGTGATTCCGTCGTAACGCCACACACCTACTGATTCGACCTTACATCAATGCGTTGTGTGATTCCGTCGTAACGCCACACACCTGCTGATTCTACCTTACATCAATGCGTTGTGTGATTCCGTCGTAACGCCACACATCTGCTGATTCTACCTTACATCAATGCGTTGTGTGATTCCGTCGTAACGCCACACACCTGCTGATTCTACCTTACATCAATGCGTTGTGTGATTCCGTCGTAACGCCACACACCTGCTGATTCTACCTTACATCAATGCTTATTGTGATTCCGTCGTAACGCCACACACCTGCTGATTCTACCTTACATTAATGCGTTGTGTGATTCCGTCGTAACGCCACACATCTGCTGATTCTACCTTACATCAATGCGTTGTGTGATTCCGTCGTAACGCCACACACCTGCTGATTCTACCTTACATCAATGCGTTGTGTGATTCCGTCGTAACGCCACACACCTGCTGATTCTACCTTACATCAATGCGTTGTGTGATTCCGTCGTAACGGGAGATTAGGGTTCCTCTCAACAATTGCCTGTAACTCCGCACAGTGCATAAAAATACCGATTTGATGGACGGAGATCGTAGAATGTGCGAATTGTTCGGTGTGAATTGATCTTAGGATCGATACTGGCTGTTACAAGCGGCAATACAGACAATGTTTCAGATAAACTGCACAAATGACTGCCGCCAATGCCACGGGTAGGAGGGATGGTTCTGCAAACTCTCACCCTCTCACGGCCGCTCCGTGCACACACAAACTGTTGGAATGGACTGGCAAGTTGAAAACTATTTCTGTGGTAAATGGGTAGCCCTGAAGACGTGAGAACACTTAAATGAAAGTGAATCATAACACAGTGCCAGGCATCGATAATGCATAAAAATACACAGTTTACGATCGACCTCCTAGGCTGGTAGTGATTCTGTGCTTCCCGAAATAATTATATTATGACCATTTATTACACTTGTCATTTTTCGCAGTGTGTGAAGAATTAAGTTACCAGGGAACAGAATGCCGCGAGTCGACGACAACAAGGCTGTTTCAGAACAAGATAGTTCTTCAGCCACAGTGGAACATTGCAAAACGTGTTCTATCATTTCACAGCCGTCACAAAGCCGGGCCAGAGGTGAATAGATTCACATTATTTCGGCGTATCAAAGCGTACGTTATGGACTCCGAGTCAAGTGATACTGAACTTAATAAGGGCTTGTTGACCGAGTCCAGCGCATTGTGTGCAGACTGAGGCTCGCCATTTCACCTGGTAAAGACGCCCATTCTCTTGGCGTAGTGGGAGGTAAATGTTTGTTCTTTTCTGTTTGACGTGAACGTTGGCGTTAGATACGTGGGAAAGCGAGAGGGCGTGGCGAGTGGACCGTTGGCTGGTACATGCACTCTACAGCACTGGTGATGTGTTATAGTGCATAAACACAGGTGGACGTCACAAGAGGACAGTACTAAATCTGGTATATCCACTACATACCAGTGTATAGAGACATCTGCCTAACGTGGTGGTAGTAAATGACGAGATGTCCTCTCAAGGATTTTCTCTCGGGTCTGCACTGCGTTGTATAGCATGACGTGTACGTCCTACCGTCGACGTCGTGCACGACTCATTATTAACCCCTGAATCGTGGTGGGGCTAAACGTCATCAAGGAAAGCCACTGGTCCATCAACAGATGAGCGTTATAACTGAACCAGGTCAACTAAACGGTCAAACTTTGACCACGTCTGGACAGCGCTACACAGTATACTGGACGGCATAGCTGCTTACTAGAGAGCTGAGGTTCGGCTGGATAACCGAGTGGAAGATGGCGTCATTGGGAACAGTTTCAGAGATGTTCAGGAAACCGTAAACCCGTGGAGTGGGTGCGAATAAGGAGACGTCCGGCGCCATGAGCTTGTACTTACCCTCCATCGACAGTTACACCTTCACAGACCCAGAACTATTCGTGGATGAGCTGCCCGAGGATGCGGAACTAAAACCGGACGCGGATTGTGAAAAAGGGTCTCACCACACGGAAGTACGGAAACGGAAACCCGTTCGTGAACCGTTCCTAGAACCAATCGCGGAAAGGGAATATGTTGGAGCTGAGTTCTCTTCCTTGGATGAAGATCATAAAAATGACCTTGACCTTAAAAGTTCTTTATCTGAATCGGGTGAATTTTCTTCAGCTACAAAAAGATTACCTCCCTTGTCAAGTGCAAAATGGGTTGGGTTGAATGATGTTGTTCGTGACGATAAACACCATCGTGCTCGTGACGGACGTCGACGTGTTCGCCAGTGTAGATCTATGCATGACGTTGTCTCCATAGTCACCAGTCGGCGGGAGATTGATGGCGGCGTGTTTGGAGACCACGTGACTGTTAGACATGCGCCCGGGGAGGTAAATAATTTCTGAAGCTCGTGAGCGATATAAAATGTTTGTCTAGTTATGTTCCATCGTTAAGGAGAAAATTGACACCTTTCATACGAACGAATCCGATTAGGATATAATTATCAGGGTCGTCAAAACCAAAGCCGACTTGACGTCCGGCATTAAGCTACCATACTGAACTGCGTGCTACATGTAGATTCTTATTTCGATATTGCGATGTATTTAACCTATTACGAATATATTTTCAAAATACAAATCTTTCTTGTTGCACATTCCATTATGCAGAGGTATGCCCCTTAGGTGCCCGGCACCAGTATCCACCCTGGTGTTGATCCCCTAACCCGCGCCATCCCTCTTATGATACCCGGACATACTAGGGGGAAATACTGTTTACATACTATGGGGAAATACTGTATACACCGCCTTTACACTTGGGCTAACTCACCAGGCGGAAATACTGTATACTCTGTCTTTACACTTGGGCTAACTCACCAGGGGGAAATACTGTATACTCTGTCTTTACACTTGGGCTAACTCACCAGGGGAAAATACTGTATACACCGTCTTTACACTTGGGCTAACTCACCAGGGGGAAATACTGTATACACCGTCTTTACACTTGGGCTAACTCACCAGGGGAAAATACTGTATACACCGTCTTTACACTTGGGCTAACTCACCAGGGGAAAATACTGTATACACCGTCTTTACACTTGGGCTAACTCACTAGGGGGAAATACTGTATACTCTGTCTTTACACTTGGGCTAACTCGCCAGGGGGAAATACTGTATACACCGTCTTTACACTTGGGCTAACTCACTAGGGGGGAATACTGTATACACCGTCTTTACACTTGGGCTAACTCACTATTGGGGAATACTGTATACACAGTCTTTACACTTGGGCTAACTCACCAGGGGGAAATACTGTATACACTGTTTTTACACTTGGGCTAACTCACCAGGGGGAAATACTGTATACACCGTCTTTACACTTGGGCTAACTCACCAGGCGGAAATACTGTATACTCTGTGTTTACACTTGGGCTAACTCACCAGGGGGAAATACTGTATACACCGTCTTTACACTTGGGCTAACTCACCAGGCGGAAATACTGTATACACCGTCTTTACACTTGGGCTAACTCACCAGGCGGAAATACTGTATACTCTGTGTTTACACTTGGGCTAACTCACCAGGGGGAAATACTGTATACACCGTCTTTACACTTGGGCTAACTCACCAGGGGGAAATACTGTATACTCTGTCTTTACACTTGGGCTAACTCACCAGGGGGAAATACTGTATACACCGTCTTAACACTTGGGCTAACTCACTATGGGGAAATACTGTATACACTGTTTTTACACTTGGGCTAACTCACCAGGGGGAAATACTGTATACACTGTCTTTACACTTGGGCTAACTCACCAGGGGGAAATACTGTATACACTGTCTTTACACTTGGGCTAACCTACTATGGGGAAATACTGTATATACTGTTTTTACACTTGGGCTAACTCCCTATGGGGAAATACTGTATACACTGTTTTTACACTTGGGCTAACTCACCAGGGGGAAATACTGTATACACTGTCTTTACACTTGGGCTAACCCACTAGGGGGAAATACTGTATACACTGTCTGGGCTAACTCGCACATTGCTGTTGCAGGTGAGGGACAAATTCATCAAGGCGGTGAAGTTGATGATGATCATGCGCAACATAGCATCCATGATATCACAGAAGTAAGTGCACGACTGGATGGTTGCATTTACAGGAAGCCATCGAGCGATACCCACAGGCTGGAAGACCGAATGTAACACGTGACTTATATACGATCATATCTGCACACACCAGCGTTATAGTGTATATAAACACCCCGTGACTAACGGGATCGTGTGGTCAAGCTCGCTGACTTACTTGGTTGATGCTCATGATGTCAGTCACTGGATTGTCTGGTCTATACTCGATTATTTACAGACCACCGTCATATAGCTGGAATATTGCTGAGTGCGGCGTTAACAAACAAACATACCCTATTGGCTAGATCCCTATAAAGCAACTGCATAGTGCATTAAAACATAAACAGTCTGTAAATATGGTTTTCTGTTGACTAAATACTTAAATGTTTTCATGTTAAAAAAACGCTATGGCACACATCACATACATGATATAATTTTAGTCAGCAGCACAATCAAAATGATGTTTGAACGACCTGATTCAAATTTAACCAGGACAGTGTACTCGGACGTATTCCTGTGTGAGGTCAACAATCACGTGACTTACTTACACGTCCTGTCAGTAGTTCACGGTGCATTTAAGATGACGTTATTGTAGGGGTTAGTTCAAAATGGATTACGGTGACCTCGGCGATACAGGCATTTAAGATGACGTTATTGTAGGGGTTAGTTCAAAATGGATGACGGTGACCTCGGCGATACAGGTATTTAAGATGACGTTATTGTAGGGGTTAGTTCAAAATGGATGACGGTGACCTCGGCGATACAGGCATTTAAGATGACTTTATTGTAGGGGTTAGTTCAAAATGGATGACGTGGTGACCTCGGCGATACAGGCATTTAAGATGACGTTATTGTAGGGGTTAGTTCAAAATGTTAGTTCATTTAAGATGACGTATGTGCAGGGGTTAAATCAAGATCGGCGACATGGTGACCTCGGGGGGATACACATATTTGAGATGTACAGCGTTCAGTTTGTGTTTATCTCTCCAGGGCTGGTGAGGGGGGACGTCCGCAGACGTTTACCGACATGGCGGGCGAGAGCGACGACAGCAACATGAAGAACTCCGGCCTGTCCTTCGACCCCTCCTACTTCAAGGCTAGGAAGGAGGTACGACCTTCACCTTGCATTACTTCAATTCATATGTGACAGTTTCTATAAAGTCTGTTCTTTAGAGTGAATTGTTTATGTGCGTCACAGTGCACAAGTGTTCATTCAGCCTCCTGTCATCCATCAAGTTTTAGATATTAATGTTGGTCAAATCTAATTTGAATACGGTGCACACTTTTATTTATGAATAATTGCTTAACATGGGAAGTTGAATGACGGGAACAAAAACTGTTCTTTATAAATGAATATCTGTCAGTGTACCAGTTTCTTATATGATAATGACAACTTGGTAAGTGTTAATTCCCTCATGCCCGGCGACGTCGTGTGTTTCCAGATCTCCATCAGCAACGAGGTGAAACACATCCTCAGTCTCCCGTCAGATGAGCGTTCCTCGGAGCAGGTTCAGACGGTCAGTGTACATTTGGAGTTTAAGTCATTTTGGCGTCTTATGAATGATAAGCATATCCCTGTCCACAGTTGATGAATATAAAGATTGAGTGTTGTTAACGTTTTTTATACGGCAGGCGATGTTCGGGCTCCAGAGTCTTCGGTCCTTCGCTGAATACCCCCTCCACATGCAGGAGAAGCTGGCCAAGGTGGCGTGGTATGAAGTGTAAGTGCACCATCCTCGCCTCACAGGGCCATATTTGTGTAGCTATGACAACGGACACCTACTAAGGCCACTTTCTTTTACTTGCTTACGGATTTTGTACAGGACAATGCCTGTGGGTAGGTGGGAGTAAAAAAGCACCAAAAAAATGATTTTTAAAAATAGTTTTCTTCTCCGCTTCAGGTCGGCTGGTGTAAAAAAGTAAATAAAATGGTCTTTGTGGGAGGAGAGCTTTTGTTGCTATGGTGATAGACCAGCAAGCACAACCTTATCGGCCGATGCTGGTATATGATCGGCAGTGCTGGCTGACATCGGTATCAGATAATTGTATCGGCCCACCATCAGACCGCAAATGCGTTTGACTGGCATAACTCTGTCCGCACCAATGATTCAAGGGACATTACTCCGTGCGTACCAATGATTCATGAGACATTACTCATATGATTCCTGATCCGGACGTCTTAAATAGGAACGAGAATGTCCGGTTAAGAGGTTTTCACTGTATTCGACGGCACGTTATCGATACGCCAGCACCATGTACTCGTGGGCATTCCTGTTCTCTGGACTTCCTGAATATCACTCAGGTCATTCACTCTTGAGAGGGGAACGGGTGGCCCAGTCGTCTAAGGCGCCGCGATTCGCTGTGCAGAGTTGCGTCCCTTGGGCACGCCAGAAACTTATGATTGTGGGTTCGAATCCCGGTTCGCCCCGATTATGTTTCTAGGTTTGTCAGCTACAAAACCGTGCTCGTGGGTTTCACCGAAGTGGTAAACGTCTGAGACCTGCATCACTTCAGGATTTCCTCCCACATTAAGCTGACACGCCGTGATATAACTGGAATACTGTTAAAAGCGGCGTTAAACCGAACTCACTCACTCACTCACTTTTGATAAATGCTGGTGACTGGCGATGATAGCATGGATGTGTTTGATGGAAACAGAGATTGCTGAACGAGTCAGATGTGTTAGATGCGTTTTGTAACGAGCGTATTTCAAAAGATGTGTAATGTAGGTCGATTATACGCCTCGATGTACAGGTTTGTTATAAACTGGTTATCTAAATTTTGTGCATAAATTTGCAGAATCCCACCAAAGAGGATCATCATCCGTCAAGGTCACTACGCTGAAAACTTCTACTTCATATTATCCGGCCAAGGTGAGGGTCACGTCCTCATTAATACTGTTGTCCTCTGAACTGATTCCATTACCATACACGTGCAGGTGCTTCCACGTGAACACACCTTTGTCCCTACAACCATTCACTGGTCCAGTGACTTGTATACAACAGAAACTCGTTAATAGGGACACCGTCATTCAAAGTGAAAACGGCCAGATTATATCATGTCTGGAATAAAAAATAATGGGTAGTGTTCTTTTAATCTTTTATTAACTCTTCCAACAGTAAGTGGGGTTTCAAGACTAACAATGTTTCACAATTGAAAATTTGTACCTTGTGTTCCTTTGTGTCATGACGTCACACCAGTGTGTTAACGTGTATAGTCTTGTTATTCTTTACAGGCGGTAGATAGATTAAGTGTCGAGTTAACTTAAGTCTCATCAAGTGCACTTATTCTAGTATAGATATTTTAATGTGAGTTTCTATATTCCACACTAAGTTATAACCTGATATATACACTTCATTAACACTGACGTGTGGGCATATAGAAATACGTTGTTAGTGAGTTATTAGGGACCGACCATTTGGCTGTGATTTTATCGAAAACAATGAATTGTCCCGCTGATATTGCATGAAACAAATAATTATGCTTCAGGCCGTGGGAATACAAATTGTCTGCACACAAGAATACATTGTTGCAAGATTAAGTATAAAAAACAAAAACAACAATATTTAGGATATAGTTTTAATTTAGAATATATATCTGGTTTTGCAGCTGGAGTACCATACACAATCCCGTATTATATGTAGGGGGTGGGGGTTTGGGGGGAAGCAATGAAATATAGCTGATATACTCAATGATATAACGCTGATATACACCATGATATAACGCTGATATACACAATGATATAATGCTGATATACACAATGATATAATGCTGATAAACACAATGATATAAAGCTGATATACACAATGATATAAAGCTTATATACACAACGATATAAAGCTGATATACATAATGATATAATGCTGATATACATAATGATATAATGCTGATATACATAATGATATAATGCTGATATACACAATGATATAATGCTGATATACTCAATGATATAACGCTGATATACACAATGATATAATGCTGATATACACAATGATATAATGCTGATAAACACAATGATATAAAGCTGATATACACAATGATATAAAGCTTATATACACAACGATATAAAGCTGATATACATAATGATATAATGCTGATATACATAATGATATAATGCTGATATACATAATGATATAATGCTGATATACTCAATGATATAACGCTGATATACACAATGATATAATGCTGATATACACAATGATATAATGCTGATAAACACAATGATATAAAGCTGATATACACAACGATATAATGCTGATATACATAATGATATAATGCTGATATACATAATGATATAATGCTGATATACACAATGATATAATGCTGATAAACACAATGATATAATGCTGATATACATAATGATATATAGCTTATATACACAATGATATAATGCTGATATACATAATGATATAATGCTGATAAACACAATGATATAATGCTGATATACACAATGATATAATGCGGAAAAAACACAATGATATAATGCTGATATACATAATGATATAATGCTGATATACACAATGATATAATGCTGATATACACAATGATATAATGCTGATATACACAATGATATAATGCTGATATACATAATGATATAATGCTGATATACACAATGACATTACGCTGATTTACTACCCACGTGATGAAGATACAGGTGGTAAGATACTAAATCCGTACGTCACACGTGTGTCGTACAAGGTTGACTTCGTTTTATTCGTTTTGATTGGATAACCGCGTGACCTCTGTCACACCGGGACTACATTTTCCATTCATAAAACATTGCTAGACGTCATTCATTTTGCGATTGCAAGGCAGAACTGAAGAAATTCATGAGAACGAGAGATATTTACAAACACTTTATTAAACCAAACAAGATGGTGACACGCATCAAATTCGGTTTGCATTCTATATAAGTTATGCATCGAGCTTCTTCAGACATTATATATAATCGAGCTATATCAATTTACAATGTACGACTACCGATCAATAGAGCGAGGGCCCCCATGAGCGTGACGCACCCGACCAATTTCGCAACTTTCAATTTGATTTAACGTAAAAGGATAAGCGTGGTGAAATGACGTCTGTTTAGACTATCTGGACAGGTACCGGGACTTGCTTGGGATGATCCGGTTGTGCCATCAGTGCCCCCTTCGAAGCGTATTTTGTGGCGCTGTTTCGGGAGGTGTTGTTCATGAATGAACGTACACGACAGCACGACCAAATCACTTTATGTGAACAGTTCCGATAAAACTCATTCGAAAACTCCGTGGAAGTGTGCCTGACTTCTGATTTTATGGCCCCAAACATCCCAAATGTGAACAATAACATTCCCTATCTCTAGCGTAAAACGCTGCGAGTAGATCAAGGTTGTCTTTTCTTATTCCGGTGGCGACCTTGCCCTTCGATCGTTCGAAGCTGTCACTGATATGCAAGCAGACTTGAGTTTGTTGATTTTCACGTCTTCAGTATAGGGTGGTACAGTTAACATGAATGTCTTTGGCGAACACTCTGATTTCCCTCTTCCAAAATGGTTTAAATTCCAGCTGATAGATCAAGGAAACCGAACTATTTTGATTGCACAGCCGGGACCGCGTCAAAGCGCGGCGCTAATGTGACATTTCAAATTTTCTTATAGGTGCCCTTCGTACTAACAACATGGCGCTTGAATTTCAATAAGTTGAAGAATTTTTTTCCCAAAAGGATCTTGAGCGTCGATGCTGTTTTGTTTGCAAACACAACTGCAGGCGCATGTTGTTAATGCGTATGTCAACAATTCCCATATTTGGGCATATGGTTCATTCTCCACTAAGTTTGAATATTTACATAATTTGGTGTCTTTGTGTCAAAAAAAAAATGCACGCTGAGTTATGCATGGCAAATTGTTCTTAAAATGTGTATTGTAGCCCATATATTAGGAGCACATCAAAACCCATCTGTATTCATGATGAAAGCTATATGATGACCGAACGTAACCTTATTTCTCATTATGTATGGTGTCGCCGGTTACATGTATCACAGTGTAAACACCCTGGTGGGATTATTTTACTGATTATCTGTGACTCCAAGTACCTAGATTTGGATAAACATTGCAATAAATAAGTCTTATGAACAATTGAGCCGCAAATCCGCGAAGTTTGGAATTCTTTCACTTCAATTTCTATGTCTTAAAATACCCGACCAGATACGTTTCTCTTTTTGAGACTCCTGTTTAGAAATACATGAAAACATTCGGATATTGCTGATAGGGGGTTTGCGTAGGTTATAATATTGACTAGATCGTTGCAATAGCACTTGGGTATTTAGCTTGCGGTTAAAAGCACTGGTGGCCAATGTATTGCTGAGAAAAGGAAAGATACTTGAGATTTTGACCAGATACATTACCACAATACCAAATATAGAGCCACCTGTTACCGAATGGATGTAATGAATAACTACACATACCATTGGCCCTATTTTAAACATAGAAAGATATCTGATCACTGGACCATTTAATATTTTTTACATTTCTTTATTAGTCAAACCAGATACGTTACAACCTGACCAAAATCGGAAAATTTGAATTTTGCGCGTTATACAGTTTCGGCAGCAGATTGATTTGATGAGATGTCGTCTGCTAGCACACTTCCGGCTGTCAATAGAAATAACAAGACACAATTTGGCAACGCTTGGTAAGTATCCGTGTTAATCTTAACTACCTAAATGGCATCTTTCATTTGCACTGAAAGGAAGGCATACCTTGCTTCTTTTGCAAAAGTTTTGTCAGCTGTTCCCATCACTAATTTGAAGTACATGCACCAATTTCATTTCCGTTCATTTCAGGCCAATCATGGGCAAGTCACATGCAGAGATTCAATAAGCTTACCAGGATCGCAAGAAGCAAAATGACATGAATTATATGGAAAAGGAAAGGCTCCGACAAGCCAAATATAGGGTTCCTGTTGGCATGCTGTCAAAGGCGAAGTTAAAAGCTCGTCGTCTCATAGATAAAAAGTACTCCACGAGGTACAGGTTGAAAAAGCAGAAGCGCAAGCAGGCAGTTGCAAATGGAGTCAGTGTTGTGGAACCAACTTCATCACATGGGTCACTTCAGTCCAGTGATGTTACCCTATCAGCTGAAGTCACCAGCACATCTCAGTCTGCAACTTCATCCACTCTGAAATCTCCGCAGACAAGATCATGGGGGACAAACCGCTTGCTTGTGCAACTTCCATTCCCTGTGAGATCTCCGACTTATATGCGACGATCCAAGGCACCGGCACGGACAAGAAATGAAATTGGTAAATTGAAATCTCAACTTAAAAGCCATCAGAAAAGTTCAAGGCGTTTCCAAAATCGATATGAACGACTGTTAAAGCGCAAAAACAAAATGGTACCTGGATGTACTTCGGACAACAAAGAGGTTCTTTCTCCCAAGTCCAAGACATTACATGACATCAGAAAGTCTGGGATTATCCGCCCGTTCATTGCCCAAATCAGTGGTCAGTGGTCCGTCAGCTGCAGACTGGAAACTCATTGGTGTAAAAAATTAGAGCTGCCCACATGGAAAACACTTCACAGAAGCAAAGATCATTCATCAACACAGTTGTAATTGGCCGTATTGTGAAGAAATATAGATGTATTAGATACCTAACGAAGGCTACAGGCATAACACGCCATTTGTTCATTACATCTAAGCGGCAACGGTTGACACACATGAAGATAAAACTACAAAATCAAATCACTTCTTTTTTGGAGAAGGGTGAGATCTGTAGGTGTTTGCCTGGAAAAACGGATATCACAAAATCAAATGGCGAGAAGAAACAAACAAGAATCTTGAACGATTTATCTTGGTAACACACATGAACGGTTTGTGGCAGACTATCCTGATGTAAAGATATCGTATTCGGCTTTCTGTAAGATGTGCCCAAAGCACATCCAAGTCACATCTCTGTTATCAAGGAACAAATGACTGTGCACGAAGCACCAGAATATGGCTTTAAAGCTCAAGTGCCTCTCATCACTGGGTATCAAAACCTCGCCTAACCCAGAAGTTGTTGGTAGGTCGGTGTCTCTTAATGACATGAAGGACATGTTGACAGCTGTTCAGGATGATGTGCCAGTTGAATATGAGGAATGGAGAAGTGTTGAGGTTGGCAAGAAAAAAATGAGAATAGTAAAGGTTTCTCAAAGCAATCGATTTATTCAAATGAAGTTACAGCTGTATCAGATGTTCCTGGAACATATTGCCCGTGTGGCTGATCAGTATAAATCTCTGCATGAATTGAAATTGAATTTGCCGGAAGATCAAATTATCATCCAAATGGACTTTGCAGAAAATGTCCTATGTCAAACTTATTATGAGATTCAATCAGCATACTGGAATGCAACAGTGGCAACAATCCATCCAGTAGTGATTTACCACAAATCAATGCAAGGAGCATGTGAGCACACCAATCTTGCATTTGTCATCATAATCCATCGGCTGTACTCGCTACATTGAGAAAGCTAGTCCCACATGTTCACAGCAAATTCAGCAAAGCCAAAGTGATCCACTACTGGACAGTTAGTCCCTCTTCCCAGTACAGGAACCGGTTGATATTCACCATCATTTCACAGCATTTGGAACTTTTTGGGTATAGAAGCTAGGTGGAATTATTTCGAGGCAGGCCATGACAAGGGGCCATGTGATGACATTCGCGGCGCGTGTAAACGTATGGCAGCACAAGCAATAAAGCAAGGAAAAACAACAATTCAAGATGGTCGAGACTTTTACAAGTGGGCAAGACAAAATGAAAAATCAATAGAGTACCACTTCTACACACCTGAGGATTATGATGAAGCGTCGTTGTATCTTTCTAAGATGACGACTAAGCCTCTCAAAGGAACCATGAAGCTCCATGCTGTAAAGACCACTGGAGATGGTAAAATCAGCATCCGGGATACGTCTTGTTATTGTTTGGGATATTTGCACTGGTCTACCCCATGTCAAGGATGGATTGAACGTTCCCTGGTTGAACCAGTGAAAACCAAGATTATTCAACCAAATTCAACTGATGATGCTCCTGAATCAGATAATGTTGTACCCAACAATCTGGAGATTGTCCCACCATTCTTTCCTGCAGCTGGAGAGTTTGTTGCAGCTACCTACGACACTCACTGGTATGTAGGTAGAGTTCTTGAGGTAGATGCGACCGACTCGATGTTTTCATAACATGTATGTCCAGTGGCAAAACCCATTTGCAGTGGCCCTCAAAATCAGATGAAATCTGGATCCCATTTAGTCTGTATCCGAGCCATTGCCTGTTGGAAGGTCAAAAAGATACAGCACATTGTCAGCTGAAGATTTCGAATCCTTCCTTCAGTTTGTAAATCCGAAGTGAACAAATGGATTTCGCAGTCAGATACGTTACCATGTGGTGTTGGACTCTTATTTTGTTAAATATGGCACATAATGTTTTCAACATTTTTCAAAGTCCCTAAAAGTGATTCATTTGTGTTTACTTGTTCCAGTTGCCATGTTACATACGTTAGGAATGGTAGATGTTAGGCCAGATACGTTGCAATCATTGACTTTGCATAATGTTCCTTCGAAACTACAGTCTTGAATCCCAAGATGTGAGTATTTTATACTCTTGTGATTATAAAAGAAATACTTACCATTTGAATTTTAATGTTATGGTTCAATATGTTCACTGTTTTGTCTTACCAATTAAAGCATTGCTAATGACCAGATACGTTACCGTTATTAAAACCATATTTGGGTCACTATTGTTTCCCAAATTGCTGATGCATGTTTCATCATCGACATGATATTGAACTTTTATTTAATGGTAAAAACAATCACACTCTCAAGCAGTTAGGTGTATCGCATTCATAGAGGAGTAGAACTTCACAATATCTGTGAAGTCACTATTTTTCACTGAGAAAACTTAAATTTAGCTCTGTAACCACTGAACCTTATTGATGAATTGTGTTGAATAAAAATGAAGACATTCATAAGTTTCATCGTGGTCAATTACTCATTCATAATGTGCAACTTTAGCGGAGAATGAACCATATATCAATATTCATACACAACCAGATTTTTCAACCGGTTTCAGTTTGGTCTGTCAACGAACGAAAATTGTGATGTATTTACACTTAAATATATATTTAACGTGGGTAATATATAAAATACCACACTCATTCTCGTTAGATACCATTTTTACGAAACCCGTGAACTTTCTATGGTTTCTGACCTCGCTTTCGCTTGGTCAGATACCCTAGAAAGTCCACTCGCTTTCGCTTGGTCAGATACCCTAGAAAGTCCACTCGCTTTCGCTTGGTCAGATACCCTAGAAAGTCCACTCGTTACGTAAAATGTGTTATCTAACGAGAATGAGTGCAGTATTCTCTATTTATTTGACTTCCAAGATATTTGTCTTTCAGCTGTCGTGACCATCCTTATCCGAGACCCGAAGACCGGGGGGTCAGTTGTCCGCACGGCCACTATCATGAGGAAAGGGATGAGCTTCGGGGTAAGTTGTAGCCACTGTGACGTCACAACCATGCTCTTACTCTGATTACTATGGAGTAGCCATTGTGACGTCGTAACCATTGTCTTTCTCTGACGACTATGCAACAGCCACTGTGACGTCACAACCCGTATATTTTTCTAATGTCGGGTACGTGGTACTGTGAGGTATACGAATGTCTCGGCCTTTGGGAAATGGGAGATGTTCAAATGTCGGCCTCATGGTACTTGGAGATTCTCAAATGTCTGACTCGTTGTTCTGTGAGAATTTAAATGTCATAAATATGGTACTGTTAGCTATTCTGATGGCGACGCCCTAGTAAGGTGAGATGTTAAGATATTGGCCTCGTGGCACTGTCCGATTTTAAATTGTCGGCCTCGTGGCACTGTGATATATTCGACGGTACTGTGAAGAAACAGGGTAGAATAGGTCTTCAGCAACCCATGCTTGCCGTAAAAGCGACCACGCATATCGTAAGAGGCGACTAACGGGATCGGGGGGTCAGGCTCGCTGACTTAGTTGATGCATGTCATCGTATCCCAATAGCGTGGATCGATGCTCATGATGTCAATCACTGGGTTGTCTGGTCCAGGCTCGATTATGTACAGACCGCCGTCATATAGCTGGAATATTCCTGAGTGCGGCGTTAAACAACAAACAAACAAATCAAATGTCGGCCTCGTGGCACTGTGATATATGCAAATGTCGGCTTCGTGGCACTGTGATATATTCAAATGTCGGCTTCGTGGCACTGTGATATATCCAAATGTCGGCTTCGCGGCACTGTGATATATCCAAATGTCGGCCTCGTTGCACTGTAATATATCCAAATGTCGGCCTCGTGGCGCTGTGATATAGATTCAAATGTCGGCCTCGTGGCACTGTGATATTTTCAAATAATGTGAGGTGTTCGAATCTCGGCCTAGCGAGACGCACCTGACATGTTTTGTTGTTTCCTCTTCTAGGAACTGGCCCTACTCCATCGCTCGCGACGGACAGCCACTGTGACGTCACAGGATACGGTCCAGCTGCTGACCATTGGCCGAGTAGATTTCTTCGAGATATTCATGGCGGGTTCTGGTCCGGATGATATTCCCGACCATATTAAGTTTGTCAGGTGAGCGGCTTGAAGATAAAACTATATGTGTGTATGAATGTGTGTGCTTGCGCGTGTGCGTGTATTGTTATTCCTAGTTCAAGAGAAGCGGAAAGCCAAATTAGATAGTTGTCCGGGGGCCATAACGTTACCTGCTCTGAAACGGTATATCGTTATACCGGACTTCGAGTGGTATACGTGCGGGCTGGTATAATGCTGTATTCAACATCTGCAGGCATTCAGGCCAATCTCATTTAAATCAGAGCTTAGTTCTTGCTACCACTGAACAAAGATCTGAGAACATCCCATTAGAACGACCTTTCATCCGACCAATCAGAGCGTCGCTTACCAGATCATGAAAGTGACAGTCGGAATATGATAACTACTGATGCAACCTCGAACACTTTAACACGAGGTATTCCGATCGATAGCTACGGGCTTAACGACTGAATCCATACAATCTAGACCATATATTTGCCATTCCAGAATGTTCTTTTGTTCAGGTTTCAATTTTTTTATCGAGAATTTGTCAAAATATGTTTCGAAGCGTAATCGCCAATTTGAAATTAGTGTCGTAAAGCATGAGAAGCCTTCTGATGTCGACTTCTTGTCAGTCATTTCATTGGTCGGTCAAAGTTCGCGAAAGGCCGGTCTGACGTGACCCGCAATGGGATGTCCTCAGATCTTTGTTTAGCGGTAGCGAGAACTCAGATCTGATTTTAATGAGATTTAATGAGATTGGCATTCAGGCATATCTCACAGCAAGGTACAAACACGTCTGTGTGTCTTCATGTACATGTGACAAGGGAGATAACCCACCCGGCTGTCGCCTTGTCCCTTTGGCATTGGTTATATATTTGATAACACAGACATCCAGATTCGATTCCCCACACTGCTGAAACCCATGCTTAACATTTGATATGCAGATGTTACTTTTCTGTGTCACCTTACTTACCCGTGATCTCCTTTGTGTTTACTTGTGAGTGTGTGAGTGAGTTATGTTTAAAGCCGCTTTGAACAAAATTCCAGTAATACAACGGCGTATCAGCTTGATGTGGAAGGAAAGCCTGAAGTGATGCAGGTCTTAGACGTTTACCACTTTGGTTAAACCCACAAGCACGGGAATGGTGCTGACAAACCTAGACATATAATCGGGGCGAACCCACGATCATTGGCGTGCCGAAGGGACGTAGCTCTGCCCAGCGAATTGCGGTGCCTTAGAGGACTGGGCCGCTCGTGTCTAATGATTTATAGAACTTGAAGAGGTGTACATTCGGTTGTTGGCTGTGTCTAGTTGCTTCATACCCATGTTGTTGGCTGTGTCTAACAGCTTCATTTCCATGTTGTTGGCTGTGTCTAGTTGCTTCATACCCATGTTGTTGGCTGTGTCTAACAGCTTCATTTCCATGTTGTTGGCTGTGTCTAACAGCTTCATTTCCATGTTGTTGGCTGTGTCTAGTTGCTTCATACCCATGTTGTTGGCTGTGTCTAACAGCTTCATTTCCATGTTGTTGGCTGTGTCTAGTTGCTTCATACCCATGTTGTTGGCTGTGTCTAACAGCTTCATTTCCATGTTGTTGGCTGTGTCTAACAGCTTCATTTCCATGTTGTTGGCTGTGTCTAGTTGCTTCATACCCATGTTGTTGGCTGTGTCTAACAGCTTCATTTCCATGTTGTTGGCTGTGTCTAACAGCTTCATTTCCATGTTGTTGGCTGTGTCTAGTTGCTTCATACCCATGTTGTTGGCTGTGTCTAACAGCTTCATTTCCATGTTGTTGGCTGTGTCTAACAGCTTCATTTCCATGTTGTTGGCTGTGTCTCGTTGCTTCATTTCCATGTTGTTGGCTGTGTCTCGTTGCTTCATTTTCGTGTTCTGGTTCTGCAGCCAGTGTGAGTTCATGAAGGACTGGCCTATTGAGAAGCTGCTGGAGAGACCGGAGATGTGCCTCCTCCATTTCTTCAAGTAAGTCCTCCAAAACACTCTTCTCATCTCCCACACATCTCACCCCATTACCAAGTTTCCGTTGGTCATTTAAGGGGCATACTGTTTCATATTCCTATCATATATTCCAGGTGTATCAAACTGTGCCCCGAGTGCGAAATTTGTAATTGCCGGAAGCGTTCGTAAAAGTTAAATGATCAACATCATGATAATGACAAATGTAATAACAACACAGATTTGAAAAAAATAAAATATTTTGTTTTATATTTTAGATAGATCATTTAAGTTTCTTATACACACAAACTGTTAAAGCTTCATGTACATTCAATTACATATGTATCTTTATCTGCATGCAAACTGCCAGGTAAAAGAAGTTATACACCCACGTTTGACGATGGTTAAAACTGAAACTGATGTATCTGATAGGGGTATCAAGGTTGTGTTTTGGACGTTAAGTTTACAGTGTGTCGGCGACTGCTTTCATCCTCGTGACGTTTTGATACGTTTTGTAATTGTTTGGTCAAATCCAATACAGTTAATTTAGTTGCAGTTAATCTCTATGATGATGCTATGACAGTGGGTGCTTTACATAGTTCAAGGGTATGTCCTGAATGATTTAGGAAAACCTGACTGGTAAGTGAAATAGACGCTGACGTCACAGGCCATGTTTACTCGTCAGATTTACAAAGCAGTGGTTTCAGAGAAACACTTCTTGGATTGTGTGCTGATCTGCTTTATCGTTGAAGGAAACAGAACACCTCGGTTTTATGCTGTTATATATGAGCGTAAGGCGAAAAACATGACATGGAGAGCTCTGTGGTTCCTTAAACTGGCTCTATGTTGTACTAGCTGTACCACTGTTCTCTCCACAGACGGAACGTGGTCATCGTCAAGGACAGCCGAGTATCAGATTGGCTGTATGTCGTCAAGTCGGTGAGTTTTCGTTTTGTTTTATTTGTTTGTTTGTTTGTTATTACACTCGCTTGTGTGTCAAACTGATTTATCGAAACCCGTGTAAACATTCATGTATGACTCTCGCTCTCGCTCGGTAAATACAATAATTCTGACTCGTTTCGCAAAACCAGTATGACGCTCGTATGATAATATCTATGTGTGTCCCAGGTGTAAACGCGTTATCTCACCTGTAACGTCCCTGTATGTCCCAGGTGTAAACACGTTATCTCACTTGTAACGTCCCTGAATGTCCGAGGTGTAAACGCGTTATCTCATCTGTAACGTCCCCATATGTGCCAGGTGTAAACGCGTTATCACACATGTAACGTCCCTGTATGTCCCAGGTGTAAACGCGTTATCTCACTTGTAACGTCCCTGTATATCCCAAGTGTAAACGCGTTATCTCACCTGTAACGTACCCATATGTCCCAGGTGTAAACGCGTTATCACACATGTAACGTCCCTGTATGTCCCAGGTGTAAACGCGTTATCTCACTTGTAACGTCCCTGTATATCCCAAGTGTAAACGCGTTATCTCACCTGTAACGTACCCATATGTCCCAGGTGTAAACGCGTTATCACACATGTAACGTCCCTGTATGTCCCAGGTGTAAACGCGTTATCTCACCTGTAACGTACCCATATGTCCCAGGTGTAAACGCGTTATCACACATGTAACGTCCCTGTATGTCCAAGGTGTAAACGCGTTATTTCACTTGTAACATCCCTATTTATCCCAAGTGTAAACGCGTTATCTCACCTGTAACTTCCCTGTATACCCCAAGTGTAAACGCGTTATCTCATCTGTAACGTCCCCATATGTGCCAGGTGTAAACGCGTTCTCTCATCTGTAACGTGCCTGTATATCCCAAGTGTAAACGCGTTATCTCATCTGTAATGTCCCCATATGTGCCAGGTGTAAACGCGTTATCTCATCTGTAACGTCCCTGTATATCCCAGGTGTAAACGCGTTGTCTCATCTGTAACGTCCCTGTATATCCCAAGTGTAAACGCGTTATCCCATCTGTAACGTCCCCATATGTGCCAGGTGTAAACGCGTTATCACACATGTAACGTCCCTGTATGACCCAGGTGTAAACGCGTTATCTCACCTGTAACGTACCCATACGTCCCAGGTGTAAACGCGTTATCTCACTTGTAACGTCCCTGTATATCCCAAGTGTAAACGCGTTATCTCACCTGTAACGTCCCTGTATATCCCAGGTGTAAACGCGTTATCACACATGTAACGTCCCCATATGTCCCAGGTGTAAACGCGTTATCTCACTTGTAACGTCCCTGTATGTCCCAGGTGTAAACGCGTTATCTCACTTGTAACGTCCCTGTATATCCGAGGTGTAAACGCGCTATCTCATCTGTTACGTCCCTGTATGTCCCAGGTGTAAACGCGTTATCTCACTTTAACGTCCCTGTATGACCCAGGTGTAAGGGCGTTATCTCACTTGTAACGTCCCTGTATATCCCAGGTGTAAACGCGTTATCTCACCTGTAACTTCCCTGTATGTCCCAGGTGTAAACGCGTTATCTCAAATGTAACGTCCCTGTATGTCCCAGGTGAAAACCCGTTATCTCACCTGTAACTTCCCCATATGTCCCAGGTGTAAACGCGTTATCTCAAATGTAACGTCCCTGTATGTCCCAGGTGAAAACCCGTTTTCTCACCTGAAACCTCCCTGTATGTCCTAGGTGTAAACCCGTTATCTCACCTGTAACGTCCCTGTATGTCCCAGGTGTAAACGCATTATCTCACCTGTAACGTCCCTGTATATCCCAGGTGTAAACGCGTTATCTCATCCGTAACGTCCCTGTTTGTCCCAGGTGTAAACGCGCTATCTCACTTTAACGTCCCTGTATGACCCAGGTGTAAACGCGTTATCTCACTTGTAACGTCCCTGTATGTCCGAGGTGAAAACCCGTTATCTCACCTGTAACGTCCCAATATGTCCCAGGTGTAAACGCGTTATCTCAACTGTAACGTCCCTGTATGTCCCAGGTGTAAACCCGTTATCTCACCTGTAACGTCCCTGTATGTCCCAGGTGTAAACCCGTTATCTCACCTGTAACGTCCCTGTATGTCCCAGGTGTAAACGCGTTATCTCACCTGTAACGTTGCTGTTTGTTCCAGGGGTCCTGTCAGGTGCTGAAGCATCTCCGAGGGGTCACCCCTCGAATCGGAATTCCCAAGAAGGAGTTGGAGTGTAGCGAGGGGGTGAAGCTCCCCAACCTGGTCACGGGGGAACAGCGTGAGTGAGATGAGGCTAGGATGCACGTAGACCTACGCGTGTGACAGAGAATAATGTCAGCTGGTCCATTACTAGAATCTTGCACATACATCGAACATCAACGAACATGCTCACACAATTGCGCGCAAACACACAGACACACAGACACAGACCACATGGAAGGTACATGAGGTGGTGTGACACGCGAATAACGTGCATGGAGGAGTTTGGAAGCAGCACACAGACAGACATGTCGCGCATGAGCATGAGCGACGGGGCACGTGCAGGGACGGAGGGGAACCATACACACATACACAGGAACAGACACATCACATGCGCCACTGAACATACACGTGGAGAGTTACAAAACGCAGACACATTCGCACAGACCCATATAGGGATTGACAGGCACCACAGGAAACCGAAGTTCCGATTATAATTAGGAAATGTTTTGTCTCTCCAAGAAACGCCCCTCATGATACACAAAACCTTCATAGAAAGAGTTTGACGGTGTACCTGTAGTTTGACGGTGTACCTGCAGTTTGACGGTGTACCTGTAGTTTGACGGTGTACCTGTAGTATACTTATCGTGTTGACGTATAGGAAACGTACGTAAACCATGTAGGGATTTTTTCTTAACAAGATTAACTATTAATTCACAATGTTTTGCTAATAAATGCAAATTGTTTTCCGAATGATTTAAATTCATTCCACATTTTTGTATAATTTTAGACGCACGTCCCCTATTCCTATCCCCGTTATCAGCACTTTAACGCACTCACAGTTCACATTGTACTCACAGTTCACATTGCACTCACAGTTCACATTGTACTCACAGTTCACATTGTACTCACAGTTCACATTGTACTCACAGTTCACATTGCACTCACAGTTCACATTGCACTCACAGTTCACATTGCACTCACAGTTCACATTGCACTCACAGTTCACATTGTACTCACAGTTCACATTGTACCCACAGTTCACATTGTACTCACAGTTCACATTGTACCCACAGTTCACATTGTACTCACAGTTCACATTGTACTCAGTTTTAGCAACCAATGTCGTTTTAATACCGAATACTAATGGCCACGATCACCCGTGGTATTGACGTCATTGGCTTCTAAACCAGCAAGCAATGTGTAGCGCAACACTGACGTCACTGTTTAGTGTGCACACAATATTATCCAAGTTGTTTTGAGCTGTGGATCTCGCTATCTCACAAAAATAAGATTGTGTACTCAGATACGGTGCCCGTGCGTGAAAAGGTATCGTATCAGAAAAGAAACGAATCTGATTTTATTGAGATTAGTATCTCGTGCCCAACCGAAGTGGCGTGAAATAGTCACGTGTCACGCCTGCATGAGAGACTCACGTGTCACGCCAACATGACAGACCGGCTCGGGTAGGCTCTTGATTTCGGACTATATCATCGAGGCCTCTTTTCGTGTTTTCATTTTCGGTGACCATATTGGTACTGTCATGTAATATATAACATATTTGGGTCTCTGATCACCTGAAAACTAAGCCTCTCATCTTGAAGCTATCGCACTCGGGTGATGAGACCCGTGGGGAGGCCGGAGTTGATCCCCAGCAACCTATGCTGGTCTGAGGAGGCGATGTAATGCATACGGTGGTCAGATCTCGCTAATAAGCATGCCATTGTACCCCGACAGCCTTGATCGTTGCTCACAATGTCAATCACTGGTTTGTCTGGTCAAGACTCGATCATTTATATGCCGCCATCATAAAGCTGGAATATTGCGGAGTTCGGCGTTAAACAACAAACGAACAAAGTCGCAGAGGACGACCGTGTTTTGTACTGACGTACAGGGTATTGTATTCAATGTAAAGGTTGTAGGACTCCGAGTCTGACTATGTGTGTGTTCTCTGCAGGAGCCAAGGTGGATACGGGTCTCAAGAGGAGGAAAAGGGCGTTGCCCAAACTGATGCCACCGACTGACGCCAAAGATGCTGAAGATGCCGCGGTAAGAGCCTCATAGCTAGCCGACAGCTCAAGTTTAAACCGAGAGGCATTCAGATGCATGCTGTAAACAATACAGCCTCGGTAGTCCGGAAAACCATGCATCCTCGATAATCCAGAGTATCACGCTTCCATTCTAGTTTGGTAAATACACTGGACCCTTGCTACCATGTCGCTACACATAACCGTCCAATCAGATAACACTCATGGGCTGATAGGGATATGAAGACGTCACTTCCGGGGAAGCTTTTGGTCTAGATATTTATCATAATAGTATAGAGATAGACTGTATTTTCGCGGACGGGGTGACTAATGTCGGGAAGGTTTGAAAATAATAAAAGGGGAAATATCAAGTACCTTAATTTGTTAATCAGGATATTTGTTAATCCAAACGCTGTCGTTGGAAACCGTCCGGATAAACGGGGTTTCACCGTAATCGTATCCTAGAAGACGTTTTAAACAAGGAACTGTATTAATAAAATATTTCAAAAGATAATTTAAATATATAGCATACCTAGAGCTTAAAAACAACAACTCTCAAGTAGATTTTTTTATTATTCTCGAGAACCATAGTGTGGCCGTAAAGACTATTGGTAGTAGACCACAGAAGCAATATGTACACTTATACACTCAGTCAATATTCAAATACATTTTGTTGATAATTAATTAGGAAATACTGTAATTGCATATGTTTTGTTTTGTATTTTGATAATATGTTGCGATGATAAGAAAAAAAGGTTTGCTAGTTAGAGAATGACCGTGACTCGCTATCGACGTATGACGTGTTACCAGGGCAACAAGGAGAACACGGCACATCCGGGCCAGGGGAGGTTCTCCAAGTTCAAGTACATGCAGCGACCGGACACGAGGAAGGCGCACTTTGTGAGTAGCATGACTGGTTCGGGGTGACCAGCTGATGATGAGTTATAGTTTTAGGACTGAGTGAGTGAGTTTGGTGTAACCCCGCTTTCAACACTATTCCAGTTATGTCACAGCGTGTCAGCTTGATTTGGGAGAAAAGCCCGACGTGATGCACATCTTTGACGCTTCCTACTTAGGCGACACCCACAAGCACGGTGCTGACAAAAAATCAGTATAATTTGGACGAATCTGGGTTTCGAACCCGCGATCATAGATTTCTGCAACGCGTAAGGGACGCAACTCTGCACAGCAAATTCCGGGCCTTAACAAATGGGCCACCCGTTCTCCCTTTATGTTTATGAATATCTCAGCTAATGGGAAACATTGAAATTAGACAACTGGATTACTGATAAACAACGTGTTCGCCCGTCATGGGAAGCTAGTGGTTAAAGCACCCGCTCGTCACGCGAAACACCTGTTCGGTTACCAATATGTGTACAGTGTTGAAAACCCATTTGTGACGTCTTTCGACGTGATATGGCTGGGGCATTGGTACAGCTGCACTCACTTATGTGTGGATCCCATCCAACTGACTTTCATTCCTGCAATCTGACTTGTTCCTCCAGTCCGTCACAGAGAAGAGAAGGCTGTACGAGATCCCCAAGAAGAACCTCCCCCCTCCACCTCCCCCGGTAGAGGTCAAGGACACAAACACGGGCCCACTCTTTGTCCAAGTGGATCATCTCAAGCCCAGAGACTCCTTTGTGAGTACACTCAACAAGTAGCCCCGTAGTTGTTGGTGTGTTTGTTGCATAACGCCGCACTCAGCAATATTCCAGCTATGTGACTACGGTCTGTATATAATCAAGTCTGGACCAGACAATCCAGTGATTGACATCATGAGCATCTTCAACTGATACAAGACACACTGATTGACGCTTTCATTTTCCGGGCAACAGGTAGTATTTTACGTAAACGGTTGAGATAATCAGCCAGTCTATATTAGAGGCTAAATTTGAGACAAGATCCGGAAAACGTGTTTACAGCAATATCGTTTTCAAAACAACCTGTTATTCCGGGACTAACACAGGTTTGTGAATACATACCACGTTTTCTAACTTCTGATTAGTTGTACTCGCCCATTATTCCTTCCTATATCTTCAGGGCCTTACAAGCATTCAGTTTGATGACGACATCGAGAGGCCTTCTACATCAGTCAGTCTGGTGAGTTGAGTTGGGAAGTGAGTGAGTGAGTGAGTTGAGTATAACGCCACTAAGAAGGTTATTTCAGTTACGTAACGGCCAGACCCGTGAAGATCCGAGGTAGAATAGGTCTTCAGCAACCCATGCTTGCCGTAAAAGGCGGCTGTGCTTGTCGTAAGAGGCGACTAACGGGATCGTGTGGTCAGGCTCGCTGACTTGGTTGATCCATGTCATCGATCCGAATTACGTGGATCGATAATCATGTTTTAGTCACTTGATTGTCTGGTCCAGATTGGACTATTGACAGACTGCCGTCATATAGCTGCAATATTACTGAGTGCGGCGTTAACAAACCAACAAACCAACATAACGGCGTGTCAGCTTAATGTGGGAGGAAAGCCCCTGTGGCGCCTCAGAAGTCGCTTTCAGATAGATTGTATTATGCTCATTCATTAAAGGGACTTTCGTTTTTCTCAAAGCTACTACTTAATTCTACTTTTCATCAATCGATGCACCGATATTGCTGACATCAGTTCACTTTTTCTTTACCTGTCAAAAATACGACAATATCAGAAACACTATGTATTGCTACACACGTGGGTATGATTTAAAAACAACATTATAATCTGGAAGGTAATTTAAGGTACCGACGTTTACTACAATATCTGAAAAACTATTGGACCTACTCCAGTCAAAGTTGGTATGAGATTATTAAACAGTCATACATAACTGGATATTACATTTAAAGACAATCGGTGCATGAATAAAAAATCTGTCTATTTAGCTATCACTATATTTCATCAACAACCAGACCTGTTCGTCACGGGTGGAACGAGCATTCTATGAAACAGCCATCTGCATAATGCTACCCCTGCGTCACAGGGCCATATGACACAGCTGAACCAATCAACTCCACTCGAAAGAGTGCACGGGATTCACGCACGCACGAATACGGTGTTACCGTTGTGCGTCTCAACGTGTGCGATTCCCGTACACCCTTTCGAGTTGAGTTGATTGGTTCAGCTGTGTTATATGGCCCTGTGACGCAGGGGTAGCATTATGCAGATGGCTGTTTCATAGAATGCTCGTTCCACCCGTGACGAACAGGTCCGATAGTTTTTCAGATATTGTAGTAAACGTCGGTACCTTAAATTACCTTCCAGACCATGGCAATAGTTCAGTCAGCAGTTCTACAAACATGGATGTCCTTCAATCAGTTTACGACTTCATTGTCAAAAGCAAAAGATGGAGTACCTTTTATTTCATGCATATAATAAAGGAAAACTGCATTTGTGTATTTCACAGACACCACTGACTTCAAAATATCGGCTTCATGTACATGTAGTCCATTTGAGCATTTTGTATATTTATGTTTAACATTATCTTGTATATAACCAGCTGTTGTGAAGTTATTACCTGGAGAGATATTTACATAAGCAAGTTTGCTTGTTTACCTATCCAGATTTCTTTGAAATAAAAATATGTTTAAACCAAACATCAACTCAGACCACTGTGTGTAGGTGAGCAGGGGCGCCGAGTGCATCATGCTGTCCAAGGATTTCTTTGCCAAGCACGCCAACGAGTTGGTCAAGCAGTGCGTGCGCCAGCAGTTGAGGCCGTACCCAGCCGAGGAGACGTTCCAGGAGAACTTGCAGAACAAAGTGGACTGGGACCTGTACAAGCAAGTCATGATAGAAGACCTCACCACGCCCAGGTGACGGGCTGCCGCGGCGACACGACCTCAGCATTGTGACGTCAAATGCTGTGACACGAGTCAGTTGTTTCTGTTTGTGGTTGTCATCCAATCTCAGCCCATACTGATAGTCAGCACTGTGACGTCATAGACTGGCCATCTCACGCGTTTACATTCAGGATATGACGTCACAGGCAAAGTTACTGTGACGCTTGTTGTTTGTTTGTTTGTTATCCATGCACAGAAATATTAAGAAAGGGGCATACTTGTGTCCAGGAAGTCGCGTGGTTCAACTACTGAACATATTCTGAAATCTTTTACTGACATACAAGTACCTCTAGTGTGGCGCTGTGTAGATGTTACCTGGGTAGACATTAATCCCGCATGGATGCCAGTAATACTGGGATATACTTGCCGGGGTCACATCAAAAATAGGTACATTCAGTATATTTTAACCTAACTGTGTCAGGTTGTTTTGGCCAGAAGTTGTAGCTGCCAATAACAGATCTTTGAGTCGATCTCACTTCTTTGTAGAATTTGTATTTTTGTATGTGAGCCATTTTGGTTAGAGTTGTACTTGGTGTTTTCATTGTTTCGTTTTTTTAATAATTTTATTTGGTTAGTATTGATACCTTTTACCTGTATGTTTGGTCACATGTTAATTAATGTTTTCTTGCCTTATTGTCCCGCTTTTTATGACAAGCTTCGTCACAAGTAACGTCATGTTGGGTCTGTCCGTGAAATCCAAAGTTTATTTTCATTTCTCGTCCCTTTGCCTCTATTTCTGTATGTGTATTGTTGGTTTAATTTAGAATTGTTATATTGTCATGTTCTACAGATATGAAATGATTTATGCAAGAATTTTAATTTAGTGACATGTTCAGTTAGACTATTTCAGATCAAAGCACCATCATGCTGCGTGTAACACATCCAGTCATCGCCTTGAATGTAGATATATATATGTACATAGACATGTTTGTTATATACATAATGTGTGCTAGGTTTGTCTCATCTCCTATATCCTTGTCAGGGATATTTCATTCGTTGTCTGTTCTTTTCTTTTTCTATTTTTTACAAGAAAACGGAAAATGCCAATAAAAGTAATTTATGGATATAAATATCGTCATAATACGTCTTCACTAGTAGCCCGGCGAAGAGGGGTATAGCCAGGAAATATAAACCTGAGTTTCCAGCTCTATGACAGCGGTGTGTAGGTAATCGAGTCTGGACCAGGCAATCCAGTGATTGACATCACGAGCGTTCATTTAGTCCCTCTGAGACAATCAGTAAGTTACTGGGGACCTCTATTCTTACCTGCCCTACCCCCGGGATTACATACAAGGAAACTTCCAGACCTAGCAACAACCTTAACCCCAAACATTAATTAACAGATATTGCGAATTCATTTTTAGATTTATCAACAAATATCATAAGGGTTGCAAAACACGTATTTCATTTTCTATGTGGTTCAATCGTTCGTAAAATCTTCCCGAAGGCACGAAAACAACGCGTAAGTATGGGAAACAATGCGGACAATGCTTAAAAGGAGTTTATGGCGGACATTCACAGGCTGGTGTTTAGTTTGTAGCAACTACTTCTGAAACAAGGGGGGTGGGTCTCAGCCGTTGGCAGGTCGCTGTAGATTGGCCTGGCGTTTTCGAAAGTTAATCGCAGAAATTGCCCGGCAACAAGACGCAGGGGCTCTTGACGGTTTTTTTTCCATGTGAGTTGATTGTCCTGGTGACTCTGTGTCGGTATAAGACACCGTTGCACGCTTAGAAATACAGTGTTCTGTCCCCTTTGTAGTTTGTGATAATGCACACTCGTGCCCTGATCTTGTATATGTAATACAAAGAATAAGTGCGTTTACATTTACGTTGATACTTTAGAATCAATAATGAAACTGAGGATGGTTCTGCATCTTTGCTTTTTTTTTCTTAGCGACATTTTCTACTTTATTTATCGTTTTACATGCATTAAATAGAAAGGGCAGTTGTCAGGAATGGTAATTCTTGTTAACCTGTCGTAGTTGTATAGCAATACACAGGACTGTTGTGTTCCCCCCTCTCCCGGCCGCCATTTGGTATGATATCTAAGGTTGCATATAATGCGTGTTATTTGGGACACTGGCCGAGGTGAGGCCAGACAGGTGCGACATTGGTTGACTCGGAGGACTTGGATTTTAATAATCGAAAGAACGTTGTGGTGAAACATTTAAATAAATCTACTGAGAGGATATTTGGCTTTTTTTAAATAACGCGTTTATCTCATCGAGTGACATGCTATTTTCATATGTGTCACAGTTCAGTGTTTTAGGTATTCTGTATTTAAGACATAAAATATTTTCTTTTATTGGAGCCGGGTATAAAGTCAAATCAGTAATGACCAATGACGTTAATTGAAATCCTCGACCTGGGCTAACTGACGGGCTCTTCTACCTAATTGCCAGCATGCTTATGTCAAGAGACGTGTTTACTTTTGAACATTATACAACACCACTGAAATGGGTAGTTTGGTATTTTGAATACGTCCTATTTCATTATCCGTTCAGCGGTCATCCACACTGATCACATGCAGCAATAAGTAGGATTTTAAATATATTTTTTCATATTAATTTGCTTTTGATTAATCACGGAACATTCACAAGTGCGTTGTGGCGCCTAAGACATGTAAACAAAGCAAGTCGAAGTTCAGTGTCGCGGGTCTTTCTTTCATTTTCACAATAAATATCAACAAATTAAATCAAACGAGCGACTGTTTCTATTCACATTTCAATGCCATCATCACTGTACGTGTGATGATTAACTGATCAGTATTGACTCATCAACATTAACAATTATACCAGCCTATCGAAAAGTGAACACTTACCTCGATTTATGAAAGGGTAGCGGCTAAATGACGTTTTGTTGGACTGTAGCTCAAGGTGCTGAATGCCTTTCACTGAGCAACATGTGTACATGTGGTTATGAAACTGTTCAAGGGCTGCAGTGGACCCATTCCTGTGTCCAGAGACAGACATAATTCGGGGGCACCAACGCCCGCCTCCGACAATTGTGTGACTGGTGTGGCACCGACAAACTTATTTAAATATGTGTGTGATAAGCCTACGCATGAGAGAAGGTTTTCATGATCTTCCAACGTAATAATATTGAAACATTAAAGCTAAAAGACACTATTTCACCGAAAATTTACATGGTTGCGCCATCCTGTTTGGCGGTAATGAACGAACGATGTTACCAAGAGTACGTTAGATCGCGATGGAGGCAATTTGTACAGCGCCATGACGTCAGTCCACTATCATTCGTAACTACTCGTGTTATTCCGGGACAAGCATAATAGCGAGTTACGGAAAGGGGCGAGTGGTGCCGAATTGTCAATTATGTGTAAAGTGTACTTTATCGCACTAGTGTGTTGTTTATGTCACCCGCACGGCATTGTTGTCGTCATTCGAATGTTATTGAGACGTAAGATCGGAATGACGTCACACTAGAAATGACGTCATAGCTGAAGATTGTTGACGTCATTCGACAATTGTGGTTTTCTCAGAAAACCACAATTGTTGAATGACGTAAGCAACACTGGTTATTTCTAACCTTTGGGCAATATTCTAAGATGATTTGCCAAAAGATCAAAGGCACCGACTGGACTTTATCTTGCGATAAGGTACAGTTATAAGCATTAACTTGACTGTAGAAAAGTACTGCTAACCAGTTTCATCGAAAGATGGATTAACTACGTCATTTAACTGTGACGTCTTGGTAATCGATGACGTCACAATGGTTTGCAAAGCATTGAAATACAATTTCACTTTTCCAATATCTTCTAGGAGATATCGCTTAATCTTGCCCAAACGATATCTCCCGTTGAAGCTTTTATCAAACGACACTTGGCTGCCTCAGTGGGAATGATGTTTGTTTGTCTGTTTGTTTGATTGTTTGTTGTTTAACGCCGCACTCAACATTATTCCAGCTACATGACGGCGGTCTGTAAATAATCGAGTCTGGACCAGGCAGTCCAGTGGTTGACATCATGAGCATCGGTCCACGCAATTGGGATACGATGACATGCATCAACTAAGTCAGCGAGCCTGACCACCCGATTCCGTTAGTTTCCTCTTACGGCAAGCATGGGTTGCTGAAGACCTATTCTATCGCTGATCTTCACGGGTTGGGAGTGAGGTAATGGCGTCGTGTCTGAGTAGTAGTGCCAAAAAAATCCACGTTGCATTACACAGACATATGTATTCATTTTAAAAACGTGTTGTTGTATTTTTCACAAGTGTATTATGATAGAACTATCAACCTAAGCTGATTTAATTTGACGAATGTTTGACCAAATCCCGGTTAAAGGGTCGATGTTGATTCTTCTTGATACTCAAATATGGTGTATTTCTATTTGTCAGTATAACTACCACAAACATAAGTTTTGTGTAAGAACTGGATAATACATAACACGGTGTTGAGATGTCATAAAATTACGTGGGTTGTCGAATGGGACCTTTGACATCACTTTGACCTCTCTCTGTGAGCACCCGACTAAGTGAGTAAGTAGGGCAATGGCCGCTTTGAGCTAATTCCAGGCATATCATGGCGGGGGATGCCAAACATGGGCGCCACACAATCTACCCGGGAATCCAATATGGCATGGCAAGTAAAAAACATCAGACATGTATCCCTCGCCTTTCACACTGGGCGAGTCTATTTTGATAAGGTATGGTGTAAAACACCCCTAGTTGGTATGTATATCCCGAACTGAGAATCATTTACAGACCGCCGTCATATAGCTGGAATATTGCCGACTAAACAAAAAAAAACAAAAAAAACCACACTTACTCGGGAAAGGAGTTGGTGAGTGAGTTGGGGTCAGGTGGGCATCATTTCAGCAATGTGGACGAGACTACTTACACGATATAAACATTCTGCCGGCAAAGGTAAAATATAATTAACACATCACAGATTATTTCAACGGAAAAACGTAACTGCTTCATATACAGTTCAATACAAATACATTTATTCTGAAATTAAATAATGCATCTTTCAGTCCATATTCATGAAGGTACATCTCGACATTAAGGTCGTGATTCACAATTAGCACGTGCATGTTTTGGATGTTTGCGCGTACGCTACCGGGACTTCGTTCGAGATCATGTTCTACCCTGGGTGCAGACGTAGGGACGCACCGCACGTTGCAACAGGATAATGCCCACCAACATGTTGCACAGGCTTTTGTTGCAGCATAACATTGCTGTACTTCCATGGCCTGCAATTTCCCCAGACCTCTCTCCTATTGAACACATATCTGGTATGAGATTGGACGACGCCTATGACAGGACCAGAACCAACCAAAAACGCCAGCTCAGTAGGATCAATCTTTGGTTGACATTTGGAACAACATCTACCAGACTGTTTTCAATCATCTGGTGTCTTCCAATGCACTGCCGCTGCCTCGCCTGTACAAAAGCTAATGGTGGTCAAACTCGATATTGACATTGTAAATTAAGTTGTTACACCTCCCCTCTGTAGGGCGTGTCTGTCGCCTGTTACCCTACTCAGACACAGTATACTGACTCCGAGCCGATTAGTCCTTGTTTAAGAGCCTTAATGCCGTGCACCAGACAGGGTAATATAGGTACCATATTTTGGTATGACGCGGTCGGGGATGGAACCCCGGACCTTCCGCTCTCCGGGCGGACGCTCTACCACTAGACCATGGAGGCGGTCTCTACTTTACATGAAGCACAGTTACTTGTTTCCGTTGGTATATATACATCTAGTTGGAGAACACCGAAATTATGGAGCTCTTACACAACGGCATAAATAACATTCGGACTATAAATTGTCAACAACCAAAGGTTGGTCACCATACCTCTTGAAAAGTTCAGGATATGAACGATATAGAATCAAGTGCATCTTCCATCTTCTTGAAGGGCCACGTATGAATTTCGCATGTGTTTGTATTTCTTCCTGGCGCAGAAATCCATCAACTGGACACAAATTTCAGTACAAGTATTCTCTGAAGTAGAAACTGTATAAAACGACGTACCATTCTAAGATGATGTGGAAACGAGTCTGGGTCTCGTAACGTGCTCTCGTTGCATGGTGTCGCGAGAGTTCCACAACAGGGTCACTTAAATTGCCTTGAATGGCGATTCGGGTAATTAATCAAGCTCCTGTGACACGTGTTGTTTCTGATATTTCTGGTATAGAAAAGTGTTGATAACATACACCGATAGGTCGAGTGTGGCCGGTCTCGGCCCACAAGCCTAGAGCAGTTGTAGTAGAGAGTTGGAAGGGCAACAAAGGAGGTCCTAGCAGGTTTTGTTCCTAATCTTCGGGTCATCAAGCACAGCTGTATGAATGGAAGGTGGAACTGCATGTACAACTGACAGCCTGGCTGCAATAACTGGGACGAATAGTCGGGGTTTACTTGTTTAGTAACTGGAGAAAAGCAACGAAGTTATGACATTAATTGACGTGTATCTACTGTCCGAGACCCTACAGTGGTCATGTGACCCGGAGTTGTCGTCTGCTCACGGAGGAGAATGAGCGTACAATGAACATAGCAGACGACAGAATGGGAAATCTGTTCTCAAAATCTCCGGGTAGATCACCCAGCGTGAAACCGTTCGAGGTGACGTCACGGACTCGAGCAGACGACAAAACGCCATCAAAGGTTGGTATATTACCACAAGTTCTGCTTAAGGAGGCTTTTATGGCTTGACCGTTTTTAACAAACGGATCTCAGTAAAACTGTACAACGTAGACTTCGAAATCAAGAGCTGGTGTCAACTGATTTTGGTATAATAGTTCTTATCACTCTTACTTACCTCTAGCCCGTAATGAACTATCTGTAATTTAATCAGCGGTTTAACAGCGCATTTGAAAGGCCAGTATGGCTAGGTTGGCAACGGGATAGTTGATATATCGCTATTTTATACGGCGAGTACTGCCTCGCGGAACCGAGCTCCGTGATTAACAAGTGTAATTGTGAACAAACCCACGCAGTTTGATTAAGTGGAATGCGTAAATAATCGTTCAATACTAGGGCTTGACGTTCATATTGTTCCTGTCCAAGAATCTTATCAAAACAGAGAAAATATTTCGGTTGGACTGACCGCGTACCTGTGAGGCAGTAATAGGGAGCGTGGAAGTCTCACTTTGTGGCGTCTCTATGAACGCTTAGAGTCAACACCAGTGCACAACATCACAACAGAGATAACATTACAGGCTTAACATTAAATGATTTTATGTTATTCTGCCACGAGTGCTGTGGCTCTACCTGAAGAGGGTTGTATATCGCAGATCACAGTAAATATCTACTCAATCACCATGGGAACAAAGAAGCAAACATCGTTATTTCGAGTAAGTTATATTTTTTAGTTTTGTAAACCAAACAATAGTTTACACATACATTTGTCGGAAATCTTGGGGTGTTAATTCAAAGATGAACGCAAGTAATCTTACACATATATTTGTCAGATATCTGGGGCTGTTAATTTAAAGATGGACGCAAGTATACTTACTTTCATCGGTATCAGTGAAAGCATTTTCACCTTTGGAGTGGCATTTTATTTGCATAATTGTTATTTTATTTTATTTTTTGTATTTATAAACAGGCTTCCATGATATTCGTGAATCTGGAAATTGTGTATATATTTGAAACTATCGCAGATTGTTCTGTGAGTCGGTGCTCGGCCTTGGGTTAACATCAAGTACACTCTTTACCTGACCATGAAACACCGACTCCGTGTGATATAGGTGCAGAGTTAGTGAGTGAGTTTGGTTTACAACATATTCTACAGTATTTCAGTTATGTCAGGTATGTGTCAGCTTTATCTGGGAGGAAAGCCCGAAGTGATGCAGGTCTTAGATGTTTATCAGTTTGGTAAAACCCACGCGCATGGACAAACCAATAACCATAGTCTGGGCAAATCATGAATTCGAACTTACGATCATAAAGGGGCGCAACTCTACACAGTGAATTTTATACACTCGGAAACTAAATGGCAAGTAATGATATTAATGACGACAAACAGGTCATATGGCTGAAATACCTAGTAGTGCACCTCGATATCCACTGTATTGTATCTCCATTCTATAGTGATAAAAACCCCTGCACTCATTCGCCGCTATCGCTTCGTTTTGAGTCTGATTCAAATAGCAGGACGCTATAAATAGCAGTCCAATCAAATTACTCTCACGAGCGAGGCGAATTCTGCGCTAGGTTAGCGATAGGTACGATGTAGTCAGTGACGTCACTTCCTCAACGAAGCCATGGTGCCGAATAGGTTTAGGGAGTTTAACATTAGAGAATGGAGATCTAGTTCACTGGATGGCAGACAAATGGAAGTTAACGGTAACATTTCTGTTGAATGAGTTGCGGACGATACATCTTCCAAATGGTAAATCATTGTGTAATGACAACTCTATGTCAGATACTGAACAAGGTGAATTAAGTTGGAATAAAGAAATTGCTGGTGGTTCCGTGGCATCTCATTGGCAAACCAAAAAATATTTGAAACCCGAAATAATTAGGACGCGCCCACTAACGGACTGCAGTTTCCTGATTGGCTGATCCTAGAACGGGGCGGTGCTTGTGTTGCAGTGAGTGTATGATATCACCATTTCGTACTGTTGTCTGGTCTGTGAAGTTGGTATTGCTGACGAATTTATTTATAAGAATTATCTTGTCTATGTTTTTTTCCTATATCACACAGGGATATTTCCCGTCTCCTTATCAATTTGTGTTATATCACAGACATCGCATAGAGATATGTCGCGTCTCCTATGTCAATGTGTGCTTTATATCACATACATCACACAGGGATATGTCTCGTCTCCTATATCACAGAGGGATGTGTCCCGCCTCCTGTAGTCTGTCTTACAGACCCTGATACAAATATATTAACTACATCCCACGCAAGTCTATAATGTTTGGCAAGTCTAGATTACTGCAGTATCTGAAAATGAAGAGAATCACTGGGTTTTTTCTGTACGATATGTTCATTTCAGAGACTATATGTTAGTCTACGTCTCCTATATCAATGTGTGTTATATATCACAGACATCACACAGGGATATGTCTCGTCTCCTATATCAATGTGTGTTATATATCACAGACATCACACAGGGATATGTCGCGACTCCTATATCAATGTGTGTTATATATCACAGACATCACACAGAGATATGTCTCGTCTCCTATATCAATGTGTATTATATATCACAGACATCACACAGAGATATGTCGCGTCTCCTATATCAAAGTGTGTTATATATCACAGACATCACACAGAGATATGTCGCGTCTCCTATATCAATGTGTGTTATATATCACAGACATCACAGAGAGATATGTCTCGTCTCCTATATCAATGTGTATTATATATCACAGACATCACACAGGGATATGTCTCGTCTCCTATGTCACAGAGAGATATGTCCCGCCTCCTATATCAATGTGTGTTATATATCACAGACATCACACAGAGATATGTCGCGTCTCCTATATCACACAGAGATATGTCTCGTCTCCTATATCACACAGAGATATGTCGCGTCTCCTATATCACAGAGAGATGTGTCCCGCCTCCTACATCAATGTGTATTATATATCACAGACATCACACAGAGATATGTCGTGTCTCCTATATCAATGTGTATTATATATCACAGACATCACACAGAGATATGTCGCGTCTCCTATATCACAGAGAGATGTGTCTCGTCTCCTATATCACAGAGAGATATGTCCCGCCTCCTATATCAATGTGTATTATATATCACAGACATCACACAGGGATATGTCTCGTCTCCTATATCACACAGAGATATGTCCCGCCTCCTATATCAATGTGTGTTATATATCACAGACATCACACAGAGATATGTCGGATCTCCTATATCACACAGATATATGTCGTGTCTCCTATATCAATGTGTATTATATATCACAGACATCACACAGAGATATGTCGCGTCTCCTATATCACAGAGAGATGTGTCTCGTCTCCTATATCACAGAGAGATGTGTCCCGCCTCCTACATCAATGTGTATTATATATCACAGACATCACACAGGGATATGTCCCGTCTCCTATATCACACAGAGATATGTCCCACCTCCTATATCAATGTGTGTTATATATCACAGACATCACACAGGGATATGTCTCGTCTCCTATATCAATGTGTGTTATATATCACAGACATCACACAGGGATATGTCCCGTCTCCTATATCACACAGAGATATGTCGCGACTCCTTTATCAATGTGTGTTATATATCACAGACATCACACAGGGATATGTCTCGTCTCCTATATCAATGTGTGTTATATATCACAGACATCACACAGAGATATGTCTCGTCTCCTATATCAATGTGTGTTATATATCACAGACATCACACAGGGATATGTCTCGTCTCCTATATCAAAGTGTGTTATATATCACAGACATCACACAGGGATATGTCTCGTCTCCTATATCAATGTGTATAATATATCACAGACATCACACAGGGATATGTCTCGTCTCCTATATCGCACAGAGATATGTCATGTCTCCTATATCAAAGTCTGTTATATATCACAGACATCACACAGGGATATGTCGTGTCTCCTATATCAATGTGTATTATATATCACAGACATCACACAGAGATATGTCCCGTCTCCTATATCAAAGTGTGTTATATATCACAGACATCACACAGAGATATGTCGTGTCTCCTATATCAATGTGTATTATATATCACAGACATCACACAGAGATATGTCTCGTCTCCTATATCACACAGAGATATGTCGTGTCTCCTATATCACACAGAGATATGTCCCGTCTCCGATATCAATGTGTATTGTATATCACAGACATCACACAGAGATATGTCGCGACTCCTATATCAAAGTGTGTTATATATCACAGACATCACACAGAGATATGTCCCGTCTCCTATATCAATGTGTGTTATATATCACAGACATCACACAGAGATATGTCTCGTCTCCTATATCACACAGAGATATGTCGTGTCTCCTATATCAATGTGTATTATATATCACAGACATCACACAGAGATATGTCTCGTCTCCTATATCAATTTGTATTATATATCACAGACATCACACAGAGATATGTCGCGACTCCTATATCAAAGTGTGTTATATATCACAGACATCACACAGAGATATGTCCCGTCTCCTATATCAATGTGTATTATATATCACAGATATCACACAGAGATATGTCCCGTCCCCTATATCACACAGAGATGTGTCGTGTCTCCTATATCAATGTGTATTATATATCACAGACATCACACAGAGATGTGTCGCGACTCCTATATCACACAGAGATATGTCCCGTCTCCTATATCAATGTGTATTATATATCACAGATATCACACAGAGATATGTCCCGTCCCCTATGTCACACAGAGATATGTCGTGTCTCCTATATCAATGTGTATTATATATCACAGACATCAAACAGAAATATGTCGCAACTCCTATATCAATGTGTATTATATATCACAGATATCACACAGAGATATGTCTCGTCTCCTATATCAATGTGTATTATATATCACAGACATCACACAGAGATATGTCCCGTCTCCTATATCACAGAGAGATGTGTCCCGCCTCCTATATCAAAGTGTGTTATATA